GCTCAACAAAGTATGGTCTAATGAAGACACTAGTACTGAGTGCTTCATATCCAGCATCATTGGATAGTATACACTCATATGTACCACCATGAGAAGCATTGACTGAAGTAAGCTCAAGATCAGAGCTCATACCAACACGTGAAACAGTGTTTTGCTGTACCAATTCTACAAAAGCACGAAAACTATAATTTGAAAAATGCCAATATTTGGAAACTTACCGGTGATGTTAGCATTTTGTCCAAGAGGGCAGCAAACACTCTGTGTTGCATTATGGAGCCAATCATACATAATACTATTAGAAGGACCAGCAGTTGTAGCACAATTTAGTGTGATATCATCTCCTCTGTCCAATGTTATATTATTGACAGGACTAATGGTTGAAAATCCCTCAGGTGATGCTAGTGAGAAATGAAGCAAATTATAATTGTAGGATTTTAAATAAATGAATGCATACTTGTAATTCTTGAAGTAGCAGTACCACTTCCAGCAAGATTTGATACTTCACAAACATATGTACCAAAATCTGCTCCAATTACATCAGTAACAGTAAGTGTACTGAAAGAAGTTGATTCTATTATGAATCGTCCTCCATCACTGATTGCAATAGCATTATGTCTCCAAGCAAAAGTATTTCCTGGTCCTCCTCCAGCAGTACATGTAAAGGTTACATTGTCTCCACCACTGACTGTGGCACTACTGACTGAGACCATAATACTGCCTGAAGGATTTACTACCAGAATAAATAGGAAAATGTATAAGAGCAGTTCAAAGAGAAAGAGAATAACACTAATATAAACTTTAATCTTACCAGAAACAATTGCTGGATTAGAAGCAGTCTCATTGATGATATTAGATACATTAGTATATGCAATACAACGATAGTATCCATTAGTAGAATGTAAAATGGTACCCAAAGCATAAGTAGAGCCTTCACTATTAGCTATTTCAGTATATGGTCCTTCATTAGTGCTGCTTTTCTCCCAGCGATATTCAGGGTCAGGAAAAGAATCAGCCATACATGACAACATAATCATGGAGGAACCAGCAGAAGTATTAACACTCATTGGATGAGTGACAATAGTTGGAGTAATGTAGAGACTAGCAGTTTCAAAATCAAACCCAGCCTCATTGATAACAACACAATGATAAGTACCACCAACTGATGAATCAATGTTACGAAGAGTAAGGACTGGATCAGTACCAACTAATGTCAGGTTGATTGAACTGTTTATGTCTAAATAAAACAAATGCAATAATAATTTTAACGTTATATTGTCAAGTAAAGTGTTATTATTGATATAAATTGCTTTATAGTCAAATGCCCATACTAACAATAGAAAGATATTATAATTCTTACTTGATAGAAAATCATTGAAGCTCTCATCAGTTCCAGTACAGTCCTCATTGCAGACTGTGCCAGAGATGTTATAATACCAGTAGAATGTATTATTGGGTCCACCTTCAGCTGTACAATTGAAAGATGGACTTGAGCCATACTCTGCTATCAGGAATGAGGGCTCAATAATGACGGAACCATTGGGAGACACTATGACAGAAAAATGCAAGAAAAAGAGGGAGAAAGAAAAAATATGATGTAATCATTGGCTAGTTCAATCATTATTATCTAGCTATTATAATTATATTAAAGACGGGCATTCTCAAAATTCCATTTATATAAGACAACATAGAGATACCACTGGAATGCATGTGTTACCACATCAAAGGCAGTATTGTGTGTCCTATAGAAGCCATTTTGATGAATGCAATGAGAATGCTATTAGTGCTATTTGAATAACAAGCTTAGGAACAAAAATGTAAACTGAGACTGTAGTTATGTATTATGGATTAGTCACAAATGATTCATAATTTTTAGTCAATTGGTAGATCTATTCATATTCTGCTTTTGCATCATCAAGCTTTACTATCTAGTATCTACTAGCTCATACAAAGTTCCCATTACTGCCATTTTCAAAACTAAAAGTTGGGAAAGGGCTAAATTGCCTTGGCATTGCAAGACAAAGTCATTGATTTCAGTCTGGCATCACAATAGGGCCTGGATGACAAGTGCATACCTATTTGGAAAACATTTCTATTCCTTTCAACAAGGTTGAAAGAAAAATCAAAGGGTGAGCATCAGCAAGATGTGAGTGCAGGGTACTGACACTAGTATAACAGGCACATTATATTATTCTATTGACAGATTGGCTTAATTAATAGGGGCCTCCTATTCAAATATGGGTGGCAATGCTCTCCTCTTGCTGGCAACACTGCCTACTAACATACTACAGTCAAAACTGCATCTTGCTACCACCATCTATCTTCTTACTATGACTTTAATTTTGCTAGATTACAAACTCACAATAATTATAACACAATTTTCTAAAGCATAAATTTCTAAAGCATACATTTCATGAAAATATGATTTTATATGAGAGCTTACTTTGTGACTTCACTTCATTGTAAGTCAAAGTAACAAGGACTACAGCAATAAATGCCAGTCCATTAAACATGATTCCTCTCTCCTTTAGATATAATAATTCAGTGTCTAATAACTTAGACTGTCAAGAGCAGTAAGTTGCTAGGACTTAAATAACAAACTGAAGCCATACAAATGCAGGTAGACTATGCAGCATCAAATGTTAGGTGGGATGAACCATTGCAACAACATGCATGCCATGTCTAAGTTGAATGCCAACACAATAGAGCCTCTTTTATTAAAGTACATCACATAGTGTACCTCATACACTACAGGCAACATGTTGCCAGTCTTAGATACTTCCTTTAACCTTGTTGAAAGAATCATACTTGTAATTAGGACAAAAATGTAAACTGAGGATGTGTAGTCACGTATTAAGGATTAGTGTATTACATTCACAAATGATTTATTATTTATAGTCAATTGGTAAAAACTTTCTATAAGAGCATCAATGGATACAAGAGAATATGTAACTTAAATGTGGTATATGTAACTTTGTTGCATCTAGCTATAACTTTATGTATGCATGAATGTAATGAAACACAATGAAATCAATATCACATACCATATACAGTAGAAACATCAGATGCAATAGAATTCAACATTCCATCGGAAACTACACAACGGTATTCTCCTGCATCCTCAAACTTTACTGAGATGATCTCAAGTTCATTATTAGTCTCATTTTGTAGCTCTACAAAGCTCCCACTAGTGTCCTTTTTTTCCCATTGGTAAGTTGGGAAAGGGCTAGCATCAGCATCACAAGATAAAGTCACGTTACCATTGATTTCAGTTGTCACTATAGGGTTTGGGTGGACAGTAATATTTAGAGCAATGTACACAGTAGTTGCATTGAATCCAGAGCCAGCACTGTTTGTAACGTGACAGATATAGCAACCGTCAGTAGAAGTATCAACAGAATTGATGACGTAGCTTGCTCCCATGCCCACCAAAACACCACCACTTACAGTAAAAGCTGTATACAGAAAAGATTAATAATCAAATAGAGCAGATACAAATCAAGTATTATGAGACTGTTAACATGACTCACCCCATGGATTAAAAGTTGCTAAATTAGGATCACAAGGATCTTCATGAAAGTACCAGGTGAATGAATTAGAAGGACCAGCAGGAGTAGAACAAGTCATTGTGAGACTATCTCCATTGCTTACTGAAACAGAAGGTGCTCGATCAACAGTTACGTGATTTTCAGGTGACACTAATGTGTATATGAAATAAAAAAAGTAAATTATGTAGTGGCAAAGAGAGCAAGGACAATAATACATGCAACAAAAAAGGATCTATAGAGCGTACATATCAAGACATAATTATACACCAGTTATTATAGTGGAGGTTATTTTACTGATTACCTTGTAATGTAACAGAATGGAAATCAAATTTGCTAAAATAGATTCAAGTCTGCAAGTGTATCTACCAACATCACCACTACCAATATTATCAATAGTGAGTGATCTACTGAGAGTACCTACATTATTATTAGACACAGTTCCACCAACATTAACTCCTGCTTCATTATAAAAACCAATGGTATACAACAAACCCATTGTTAAACTACTTGCAGTGCATTCAAATGTCACACTCTCTCCAAAATTTCTTGTCACAGTTGCAGGGCCAGTTATAGCAACACCTAAAAGTAATCACATTATGAACTAAAAATAGCAATAGTGATTCTATACAAGAGCTTACTTTGTGACTTCACTTCATTGTAAGTCAAAGTAACAAGGACTACAGCAATAAATGCCAGCCCCTTCAACATGATTTCTCTCTCCTTTAGGTATAATAATCCAGTGTCTAATGTAGACAAGAGTAGTGAGTGGCTAGGGTTAAATAACAAACTGAATACAGACAAATGTAGACTATGCAGCATCAAATTTCAGTCTTAAAGGAGAAGTGTGGGATGAACCATTACAACAAACTTATCATGACAACCATGAACGTCAGTAAATAACAATACAACTAGGGCTGACATGCAGCCATTATGCATGACATGCATGCAGCAGAATAAAGCCCCCCATATTCAAGTACATGTATCACTTACATTCCTATATACTGCATGGATGTATGCACAAAAAAGGACACTTTGGTAAATCTATATATGCAAACTTCTGTCCAAAAGTGCATGGACAAATAGAAAGCATGTAATTGGTTTTTTAACTTTAGACAAGTTCCCATTATAAAATAACACCATAAAGACACCACAATAATATAAGAGAGAGAGAGATGACATGGAGAGAGAGATGACATGGAGAGATAAAAGTGACTCCCCTCCAATTAAAAGGATCTTATTACAATCAGTACTACATATACTGACCAATTAGCAGCAAGGAAATATTTAGCCTTAAACAAATTAGCATTAGGGGCTTCTATGCGTGTACATGAACAGCAGTCTAAACAGAGTTGCATGCAATGACTACGATACTTTTAAAAACAACCTTGATAGAAATAAACACATACAGGGTATAACACACATTCACACGCAAAATGAATTTGTATCAATATCAAGAGCAGGGAAACCTACTCTTATAACATATACCAGTATAAGTATTGAGTTAATTAAAATAATTTATGCTATATAAAGTCATTTTGTACTAGCATATTGAGATTAACTAGTAAATGTAGTTAAATGCTATACGAGGAGTGGGTCATCATTATCCTTCAATATTGCCTCCTGGTGTATTGCCACTCTCTCTGGAGGATTTAAAGGAAGAGGAGGATGAGGTAGTTGAGGTTGTTGTAAGTGAAGGATTAGGTGCTCTTGAGTCTCTGGCTTCTAACTCATTGAGGAGAGCATTAGCTTCATCCAGTGTGTCCTGTGTGTGTTTATAAGTGGAGATAGAAAAATTGGTCATAATTTTTTGTTTTAACATGTAATCATGAATGAGCTCAAACTTTCAACGCAACATAAGTACATGTATATGCATCATGTAATGTAATAAAAATGTGGAATTCTCTCCTGTTTATTTTTGGTGAAATTTGGCCGATGATCCTGTGCTATAGTACAGGGACTTTGGCCCGGTTTTTAAGCAACTTTAAAAATTCATAAAAAATCTAGTTTTGATCGGAACCAGCTCAAACTTTCTATGCAACATAAGTACATGTATATGCATCAAAGAATGTAATAAAAATGGAGAATTTTCTCCTAGTCATTTTTGGCAAAATTTGGCCAGGAACCCTGTACTGTTACAGTACAGGGACTTTGGCCCAATTTTGGTTGATCACATGTAACCAATGTAACTCCCTTCTCCTCTCTCTCTCTCTCATTATCAACCTGAGCACTAATTGTCCTTTGGAATATTTTGCTAGTCGAGGATTCATTAGAGAATGAGAAAGCAGATGCATGAGACCAAGAGTGATCATTAATCTATAAAGACATTACACCATATTAAACACCTTCCTTATAAGGCGCCTGCTATAATTAGACTCACTTTCCTCCGCAACCACGAGACTGCCGTCTGTAATTGCTCTCCTTGAGCAAGAATGAAATCTCTAGCCTTGAAACACCTACATGTACACACCAAGAAACATCATGTATCATAATGTGACATCATGATTCTTAAAGAATTTTAATTTGTGGTTAAGATAAACCCACAACAATCTACACTGTATCTGCTTGTCACCATGATGGTACATATCTCTTCTCTCTCTCTCCCTCCCTCTCTCTTTCTCTCTCCTTTGTCCCCCTCTATATATCTCAGTTTCTTACCTGTTTGCTAATCCAACGATGAACTTTATCCCCTGGTAAATTCTCTTAGATTCTGAGCTAGTTTGAATTGTCTCTAAATATGACAAAATAAAACATTTTTGATGCACATACAACAAAGAAGCTCTCATCCACTTGTGACTAAACCATATCTCATTATAAAGCTATAGACATACAACAAGGATAAAAAATAGTAGAGACAAAACACAGGATTGGTAATTAAGGAATATATTTTAGACTTGAGTAGACACCAATCAAAGTGTATGCATACCAAAAGAAAGTGGTATGCACATGCACATGTATAATATCGTAATTGATAGATAACATGTTACAATTGAAGTGTGTCATTGATACATACATGTATTTCAGTAGGGCAGACATGAATGTACAATGTAACTACTACATGAATATGCAGTTCTACTATGAAAAGGATACAGGAAACAGTAAAAAGCCACACAAGTACTATGTATACACTATACAGTAATTAAAGTGTACAAATGTTGAAGTCAGCTAAATGACTTACTAAATATTGACAGTTCAGGTTTGTATTTGCCGCCAGCTAGTGTAAACTGAATCCTTTTGCTTTGTAAGGAGTCTTCAATTAGCTAGAGTGATAGTAATGAAGCAGTCACATTTCAAAATGAGTCTAAGACTAGTAACAACAATACTGTGTACTATCATAGTGGGGGGATTTAGTGGGAATTAATTATTAGCAATATATTCACAAGAGTACATAATACATGCATAATAGGTATAATAGGGCTTATGTATACTCTTGACATTAGTGACTGACAATTCTGTTATCTAAAGAGAGGTGACATGAAGACAATGGTATTTAATAAAGCCCATGCACAAAATAAATGTAGACTATGAACACCTGTACAATACCAACAGATAATTAGTTTAGTTGTAATTGCATTCTTTTGATGTCTCTATAGCATCATTAGCCAATGAGCGTGTGATAAGCATATGCAACTGGAAATAAATAATGTTATCTACATACCAGAACTTCAGTTAGAGCCTTGAAATAGGATTTGAGTTCATTAGGAGGCACTGTAGAAATGTTATTCTGGAGAAGAGAATGGGGAGAGAGAAAGAGAGGGGGAGGGAGGGAGAGAGAGAGAGGGGGGAAGAGAGAGAGAGAGAGGGGGGAGGGAGAGGGGGAGGGAGGGAGAGCGAGAGAGAGAGAGGGGGAGGGAGTGAGAGAGAGACGAGGGGAGGGAGGGAGAGTGAGAGAGAGGGGAGGGAGGGAGGGAGAGCGAGAGAGAGGGGGGAGAGAGTGAGAGAGAAAGGGGGAGGATAAAAGGGAGTAATAATATCAATTACTAATCCCTAATTTGTTTTCTCTCCTTCTAAAGAGGAGTAGAGGGTGGAATAAACAGAACAATGTGTAGTGACAGAAAAATGTGGCAACAAAGCTAACGATAGACCCATACCTGTAATTCCTCTATGATGCAAGCAGAGAAGGATTGGTTACAATAGCAACAGTAGCAAATCATGTGAGATATGGCGTCAGCCGTGGACGCATCACAATCTCTAAGAGTGGAGCAACACTGAAATAGAAGAGACATTAATAAATGAATGAAGCAAGAAACTGAATATAAAATGCACTAAAGAACATGTATATGTATCAGAACATGTAATAAAATTGAGGAATACCTTCTCAAAATTTAACAACTGTATATTAATATATATTCACTATATTTGGATACAATATGGGCTGTATATTAACAAGAGCATACTCTTGATATTAATAACTACATGTAGTATTTGTGCATATTTACTTCTTGAATGAAAGCGCGGCTCATTTCAACAGAGAAGAGGATCTGGTGCATGCCAGGTGACGGGTTTTGGAGGCTCTCAATGTCACTGGGGATCATGTAAGGATTGACTGAATGAATCTCCCTGGAATCAGCTAATGTACATGTATGTGTGTGTGTGTGTGTGTGTGTGTGTGTGTGTGTGTGTGTGTGTAAGAGAGAGAAAGATCATAGTGTTTTTCTTTAATATTTTCTCTATTAGCAATCAAAAAGCGTTATTATTATAAATGAATTTTTTTGTTGCTAAAATTACAAGAAAGAATCAAAAAAGGATGTAAGATGCATTAAGCTATTAGAAATTATATCCGTATGTGGGATGGGTTGGGTTTACACATACAAATGCAGTGCATGTACACACAGACATACTTCATAAACTTAAAAGCATTCTAGTCTAATAAGACTTAGTTCTTGTTCTCACTGCATACACATACACAGTAAAAATGCAAACACATTAAAATCATTCAAAAACACAAGCTACATGTACATATACATATGTACATATACATACGTACATGTAGATTATGTACATGTACATGTACATAACTTACTTTCTGTTTCAAAAGAGGAGAGGTTAGTATTACGAACTAATAGCGAGAGAGTGCTGTGAACTGCACTAAATTCCTTCACTTGTAACGAACTCCATCTTTTGGGAGGCTACATAAAACAGAAATTAAATAATAATAATAG